TTTGTACGACGAGAGAGGACTTTACTTCTCAATTGCCTACTCAGCCCAAAGTAGCACTTGTTGGCAAGAGTGATTCTCCGTTGGATTTCAAGGCTGACATTATTATTGGTGTTAATGCTGGTTCCCAAATAAACGAAGTCGTCTACTTTTTCAAACTTGTAACTGTCAACAGTGACGTGGGCGGCAAGACGCGTATGCTCTGACTGTTTGTGTGATGACTGGAGATACTTCGTTTTGTCCTCGTTCACCACCAGACCCATTCGCTTTGCTTCTCTATCCAATCCCGAGAAGGCAGAACAGACGCAGCTCTTATTTTTACCGTTAATATCGATGTCCTCGGCATACGCCAGCAATTGTACGCTCTTGTAAAGTATTGTGTCTGAGCGGTTTAGTTCTGGGGCTCTTATTATCTTCTCTAATATCAGATTAAAGAAATCACACGAAAGGGAGTCCCCTTGTCTGAAACCTCGTTTGGTATCAAACGGCTCGGAGAGGTCCTTCCCTATTCTGACGGAGCTGGTGGTATTGCTCAACGTCATTTTACACAGCCGTATTAGTTTCGCGGGGATACCAAATTCAGACATCGCGGCATAAAGACAACTTCTCTTCGTGCTGTCGAAAGCGGCTTTGAAATCGACAAATAGATGGTGTGTGTCGATCCTATTCTCGCGGGTCTTTTCCAAGATTTGGCGTATTGTGAATACCTGATCTATGGTGGATTTTCCAGGCCTAAAGCCACACTGATAAGGTCCAATCAGCTCGTTGACGGTGGGCTTCAGTCTTTCGCACAATACGCTCGATAAGACCTTGTAACCTATGCTTAGAAGGCTAATTCCGCGGTAGTTGGCGCGTATGGCGGGGTCGCCTTTCTTGTGGATTGGGCAGAGCACACTTAAATTCCAGTCGTCGGGCATGCGTTCATCTGACCATATTCTGCATACGAGCTGATGCATGCACCTCATCAGCTCCTCGCCGCCGTACTTGAATAGCTCGGCTGGCAGGCCGTCAGCTCCAGCAGCTTTGTTGTTTTTCAGCCGCGTAATCGCTATTCGTACCTCGTCATAGTCAGGCGGTGGGACAGCTACTCCATCATCATCGACTGGGGACTCGGGTTCGTGTTCTTCACTACTTTCAGCGCTGCTGCCATTCAGTAGGCTGTAAAAGTGTTCCCTCCGGTGTTTCTGCCCTAATAAATTTTGGTTGAACTATTATTTCCTCGCTTCATAAAAAATATTCATTCATTCAATAACGTCTAGCACCGACTTCCCCTAAGTGGGTAGAGTATAGTAGTGGTGCGGGCATATTCTCAAATTCAGAAAATGNCTACTCAGCCCAAAGTAGCACTTGTTGGCAAGAGTGATTCTCCGTTGGATTTCAAGGCTGACATTATTATTGGTGTTAATGCTGGTTCCCAAATAAACGAAGTCGTCTACTTTTTCAAACTTGTAACTGTCAACAGTGACGTGGGCGGCAAGACGCGTATGCTCTGACTGTTTGTGTGATGACTGGAGACACTTCGTTTTGTCCTCGTTCACCACCAGACCCATTCGCTTTGCTTCTCTATCCAATCCCGAGAAGGCAGAACAGACGCAGCTCTTATTTTTACCGTTAATATCGATGTCCTCGGCATACGCCAGCAATTGTACGCTCTTGTAAAGTATTGTGTCTGAGCGGTTTAGTTCTGGGGCTCTTATTATCTTCTCTAATATCAGATTAAAGAAATCACACGAAAGGGAGTCCCTTTGTCTGAAACCTCGTTTGGTATCACCCGGCTCGGAGAGGTCCTTCCCTATTGTGACGGAGCAGGTGGTATTGCTGAACGTCATTTTACAGAGCCGTATTAGTTTCGCGGGGATACCAAATTCAGACATCGCGGCATAAAGGCAACTTATCTTCGTGCTGTCGAAAGCGGCTTTGAAATCGACAAATAGATGGTGTGTGTCGATCCTATTCTCGCGGGTCTTTTCCAAGATTTGGCGTATTGTAAATACCTGATCTATGGTGGATTTTCCAGGCCTAAAGCCACACTGATAAGGTCCAATCAGCTCGTTGACGGTGGGTTTCAGCCTTTCGCACAATACACTCGATAAGACCTTATAACCTATGCTTAGAAGGCTGATTCCACGGTAGTTGGCGCGTATGGCGGGGTTGCCTTTCTTGTGGATTGGGCAGAGCACACTTAAATTCCAGTCGTCGGGCATGCGTTCATCTGACCATATTCTCATCAGCTCCTCGCCGCCGTACTTGAATAGCTCGGCTGGCAGGCCGTCAGCTTCAGCAGTTTTGTTGTTTTTCAGCCGCGTAATCGCTATTCGTACCTCGTCATAGTCAGACTGTGGGACAGCTACTCCATCATCATCGACTGGGGACTCGGGTTCGTGTTCTTCACTACTTTCAGCGCTGCTGCCATTCAGTAGGCTGTAAAAGTGTTCCCTCCGGTGTTTCTGCCCTAATAAATTTTGGTTGAACTATTATTTCCTCGCTTCATAAAAAATATTCATTCATTCAATAACGTCTAGCACCGACTTCCCCTAAGTGGGTAGAGTATAGTAGTGGTGCGGGCATATTCTCAAATTCAGAAAATGAAAAAATTTTGATTTTTATTAAAATTGCCTTCAGCGGCTCGTCAAACCCCATACTCAACACAAATGGCTTGCAGCAAAGGGATATTTCGTTTGGTTTGTCAAGCTGCTTGTGTAGTGTAAGCGTAGTTCCCAGGTATGTTTTGTCAACGAAAAATTTAATCCGAAAATTTTGAGAAAAATAGCCGAAAACGTACCCTCTTCACAACCATTTTCGGTGCTTTTGTAGACCTAATACGCGTTTCATCCAGTTTTCTTCCTCGTTGACTGTTTTCGGATTAATTTTCTGATTTTTTGCTGGCTGGGCTGTTCTCGTAAGAAGCGCAGCAGCTTCGCGCACGTATATATGTTACTTATTCGTTGGAACTTCATAATCACAATCTTAGCCCGAACACCAAGAAAACGAGGAGCTACGGACCACAGCTGTGGTACACGTACGCTTATGTAGATAATTATTTTGGCGACGACCGAGCTACGCGACGACTGTGGTTGTGACCAGATTAGACCTGTTTCTATTTTTCCGGCGACAGATAAGGTTCTTCCTCTTTTTTTATGTCAAACTCATGATGTCGCTGCCACGTTCAAAAAAATCATGTCGTCATCGACAAAGCGTTTAGATAATGAAGATAACAAATTGGAAGCTGTGGCCCGTAGATTGTCGTTTTCAATGTGTTCAGAACTTGTGAAAGAGCGAATCAACACGAGGAAGAATTTTTGATGAGCGAAGTAATTGAGACTTACACCACTAGCAACGAAATGTTTAAAGCTATCGAAAAATTATACAGAAAAGTAGTTTGAAATGGAGCAAGTGTGCGGATATTTGCAGTGATAGAGCAGCCGCAGTGGTTGGAAAAACGAAAGGAGCGATGTCTAGGATGAAGCAATAGGCAGAAAACGCCACGAGAAGTCACTGTATGATCCCTGGCGACTAGGAAGATGTCGCCACTACATTTAAAACCCGTATTGGATGACGCTGCGAAGATAACAGAGGCCTGTGAAATTAAAATACTTCTTGGGTTTTTCCTAGCACGTCGAGATTTTTTTTTTATTGGTGACATGTATACATATTTTAGAATTTCTAGCAATTGCATTAAAACCCCATAAATAAACAAAGTAAATCAGAAAAATTTATGTAACTTCGAAGTTAACGCTAAGAAAATTGATAGAAGTTGTTTTCTTAGTGTTAACGCGCATTACCAGCGTTAACTTGGAAGGTTTAGAAAAAACCACTGTCGTATATTTTCTCAACATTGACTCCTAGGATGTCTATAGCTGGATAACAAACCCGTTTTCATGTGACCCGAAAAATAAACCTACTGGGAAGACAAATTAAGCTTTTGAAAACCGTTTGACCATCAGTGAACACAGCCCTTTGAATATAAAGTACTACGAAGGGAGCGAAGAGAGTTCTGGATGTAAGTGTACGCAGAAAACAATGCTGTTGGCAAGATTGCATTCAAAGTACTAGATAGTGACTTTTACTTTTACACAAGGGTGCCGGGGTGAAAAAAGTTTGGGAAGACCTGGTCTAGCAGATGAATGTATGTATGCTTGTACATTATTGGCCGTTTATGCTGAACTTTGAAGCTGCATTTAGCACATTTAGCTCTAAATGTACATTTACCCATACAAAATTCGCGACCTAAATGCAACTAAATGCTATATATTTTTGGCTTTAAGATTCTAAATGCCGCGTGCAACTCTGTAATCTTCGAAAAAACACCACGATTCGAAGAAGCTGTGGTGAAAAAAAGTGGCAGCATCGCTTGTTTGCGTATACATATTTGTTTACATTCTGTTTTGCGTATACATACATATATTGTGATATTTGTGCCGGAGTTTGCTTCATTTCGGTTCATTAAATATACTTTGTAATTTTAAGTAAATAATTAAGAAAAATTTATTTAAAAAATGAAGTGAACGAGATGTCCATGCACCGCAGCAGCAGAGGAGGCGTTTGTGGAGTTGTAGCAGCAAAAAGTGAATGATTTGAGTGGGCCCAGGAAAAACGACCATGTTTACTAAGAGATGGCGGCTGAAATGCACATGCAGGGCTATGATGTCAACTCCTCATTAGTTAAAACGAAGATTGACAATCTGACGGCGAAATACAGGTAACTTTAATCCTTTCAAGAAAGAATAAAATACTTATTTGTACGTATTTTTCATAGACGGGCCAAGGCAGCTATGGGAACAAAAGGCGGCTTTCCTGCATCATCTAAATTAATAATGTAGAGGCTCTAATTGAAGAAAGTTTTGAACGTAAGTGTCGATGGAAGCCATTCAAATTCTTGGTTTTTGGTGCAAAACTATTTATTACATTTTATCTTAATCTATGTACATAAATTCTAAAAATTCATTTTCAGTTTCAGAGTCACCAACCCATCTCTCACCGCTACCGACAGAGATATCGCCGTTATCTCCATCACCTTTGCCGTCTACTTCGTCCTCAGCATCCGACAAATCTGGAAGAAAAAAACAAATAGACCGGTTAGCGACGGTCTGCGAAAGCCTCTAGTCCACTTTTCGGAAGCTCTGGATAAATTTTGCACATCGAACGAAGAATTGATGGAACTGGAAAAAGCAAAACTGATGGCAGTGCAGGAGCTGCAGGAAGACGCGAAAGGACTAACGGATGGTGTTTCAGATTTTTTAAATAGATTAGGAATAGGATGTAAGGTTTCGTGAATTTAATACTTTTTTACACATTTAATAAATTATAAGGAAATAGTATGTAAGATCCAATGAAGTGAATTGTTTTTTGTTATAGATTTTAGACTTACTCATTAAGAAAATGGAATCAAATATGTGGTGAATTTTATTTTTTTGTTTTATATTTTTAAATAGATGTTAAGAAAGTAGTATGTAAGATTTTGTGATATGAACTTTTTTGTTTTTAATCTATATATATAAATTTGAATGTTTGTTTATTATCTTATAACTTTTGAACCACTACACGGAACCGCACGAAACTTTGCACACTTATTTGCCTTTACCCCGGGAAGGTTGTAGGCATGGTTTTGTTTGCAAATATGATGTAAATTTTGCGAGGGGGCGTGGCACCTCCCATAGGGCTGCAAATTTTCAATCAGCTATAACTTCGGAACCATAAGTCACATGAACTTGAAATTTGGTATGCAGACATATCTATGGTAGATGCTTATAGTAAGGTTTATATAAATGACTTTGTTGGAGGGGGCGTGGCATATCTCATCGTCGTAGAATTTTTAATCAGCCATAACTTCGGAACCATAAGTCACATAAAATTGAAATTTGGTATGCAAACATATCAATGGTAGGTGTTTATAGTAAGGTTTATATAAATGAGTTTGTAAATGGGAGCGAGGCACATAATATAGGCGTGGAATTTTTTATCAGCCATATTTTCGGAACCACTAGTCACATGACTCCTTTAATTCCTTTTGATATGCATTTCGAATTTAAAAGACCTCAGTTTCCAGATCGCTTAGCTTTTGCAATCACAATAAACAAGAATGCCTCAAAGTAAAACAAGAAACTTTATCGAAAATAAAATGTATGATAATTGTATTGGAAAATGCATTTATGTTAATAGATATTTTGAAGTATTAAAAAAATGCTGTGAAATCATATTAGTTATTATTCGTAAGAAATCAGATAGTATTTCTTCCATTATAATTTATTGGAGATATTTTAACCTATATAAAAACACCTGCAGTGCCAAAAAAATTTCTCCGTTTGGCAACTTTGGTATTTTGCGTTCCGTTTCCTTTCGATCAATCTTCGAAATTTACGATTATACCTATTCTACATTTCGATCGTAGTTCTGTTTTTCTAAGTTGCAAACTTGCTGACGGAGAACGTTTCGATTGTTATTTTCGTGGGTTTAAATAATAAAATTTTATTAAAAAAATTAAGTAAAATATACTGTGCATGATTTTAAAAGCCATCATAAATGAATTTTCTCGATTTCTGTGTTTTCGCGAGCGGTAGTACGGGCAATACGAAAAATTGGCTCAAATAATGGACACCAAAAGGGATATTGCGCGAGGTTTTCAAAGAGGAAGTCCAGGCGTTTTTGTTTTCATTATCTATAAATAAGACTGACATGCACTGAGTACAATTTATTCTTTTTGTATAAAATTTATAGATGTACATATGTACGTACATACATACATACATACATACATAAAATGTGAAGTTACATAAAAAAGATGTTTTTATTATTGCACTCGTTTTTACTAACTTTTTAAAAAGAGGTGTGTATGTTGTCTCGAATTCGTTTTCTATGGAAGGATAAGCTTTGTTCTTCCCCTCCTCCTGACGGCTTTCAAAATGGAATTCATTTGCGTTCAAATCTTCCACTCTGTAATAAATGCAAATGTTGTGGAGTGCTCAAACAACGTTTATTATTTCACTGGATTTGAGCGATGAGTAATAGAGTTCAAGATGAATTTCTTATTACTCTTCATTCATCTGAGAAGGATCAAACATGTCCCGCATCAGCAATCTGGGACTCGTCCTCCTCTTCAAGCAATAACGTCGCANTTCCTTTCGATCAATCTTCGAAATTTACGATTATACCTATTCTACATTTCGATCGTAGTTCTGTTTTTCTAAGTTGCAAACTTGCTGACGGAGAACGTTTCGATTGTTATTTTCGTGGGTTTAAATAATAAAATTTTATTAAAAAAATTAAGTAAAATATACTGTGCATGATTTTAAAAGCCATCATAAATGAATTTTCTCGATTTCTGTGTTTTCGCGAGCGGTAGTACGGGCAATACGAAAAATTGGCTCAAATAATGGACACCAAAAGGGATATTGCGCGAGGTTTTCAAAGAGGAAGTCCAGGCGTTTTTGTTTTCATTATCTATAAATAAGACTGACATGCACTGAGTACAATTTATTCTTTTTGTATAAAATTTATAGATGTACATATGTACGTACATACATACATACATACATACATAAAATGTGAAGTTACATAAAAAAGATGTTTTTATTATTGCACTCGTTTTTACTAACTTTTTAAAAAGAGGTGTGTATGTTGTCTCGAATTCGTTTTCTATGGAAGGATAAGCTTTGTTCTTCCCCTCCTCCTGACGGCTTTCAAAATGGAATTCATTTGCGTTCAAATCTTCCACTCTGTAATAAATGCAAATGTTGTGGAGTGCTCAAACAACGTTTATTATTTCACTGGATTTGAGCGATGAGTAATAGAGTTCAAGATGAATTTCTTATTACTCTTCATTCATCTGAGAAGGATCAAACATGTCCCGCATCAGCAATCTGGGACTCGTCCTCCTCTTCAAGCAATAACGTCGCAGCTATGGATTTCATTCTTATAATTATGTTTCCACTTAAATTAAGAGCAAACGAAATTTTATTTTTAAATTACAGTGATGCTAGATATATTTAGTTATTTTAAAATATTTACAAACTCCAACTTCATAAGCTGCTTTAGTTTGGTGGCCAATATTTCTTTGTTTTGTTTCGATATCACACATTCCCAGGCGAACATCTGACATCGAAAGATGTTTTCTCTCTTCCTCTTTCGATTCGATCGTAACGCAGAATGCCTAAGTTCGATTTTTGCGGAGCGGAATGCAGAATAGGGCTGATTATTGCATTTCATTCGATAACACCCAAGCTATACAGCTGTCCTACCATATGCTGCTATCACGGCTGTATATTGTCAATTTAATCTAATGCTTTGTATTGCATGCGCCCCACGCTTTTCATTTTCAATCTCATAAATTGTTTATAATAACTTTTGCTAAAATTTCAAAATCAAAAGTTGTGAAAACAGATTCTATGGGACTGAGAATTATTATTTTATACTATTTAGTCCATTTATAAAAGCGTTGTATATTAAAAAGTTTTTTATATTATTTTTTTTCTACTTTTAGTCTTGTCTGTATAAAATTTTGCAATAGATATTGTAGAGTAGTATCAAGCACTAAATAGTATGTGAAGTATAAACACCTTTTCAAGTTGCTTAATAGCAAGTACTAAGAAGTATGTTAAGTATCACGGAACACATCAAGATAACCAACCGTTCAGCTATAGAAAAACTAAAAATGCAGACCGATAGTACTTTTTACGCTGATTTCAACTATATAAATATTATTTGCCGCGATTAAAAAGTAAAGAAGATATAAAATGTTAAAGAAAATTTTTGTGATATTTTAAAATAATTATATTTTATAAACTACGTAACCGATTAAAAAAGTAATGATATCAAAATAAAGGCAATTAATCCATCTTTAAGTTCATATATAAAATGCGTTTGCTTGCTTATATATTTAAGCCAAAAATATTAAAAAACAAATAAAATGTTATAATTTTTCATAAAATAACCTTTTTTAGAAAAAAGTGCATAATCAATGCTAAAGACATATATATTATTTAGAAAGTGCAAGTTCTTACCTTTAATTTGATATGCATATTTTATTATGATCTACTTTTGAGGTTTAAGAAATTAGTGATAAAAAAAATTAAAATCATTTACAAGCAAAAGTGACAAGTGTGGGTGATATCATAGTTTCTTTTGCCCAGAACTTCTTTCTGCGTAGGCGGCCTTCGGCCGCACTTAGTGATTATAACCCTCACTAAGTAGAATTCTCCTTTCTGTGTTGCTTTAAGAAGTGAGGCTGAACACCTTTTGCAGAGAACACCTTTCTGCGTAGGCGGCCTTCGGCCGCACTTAGTGGTTATAACCCTCACTAAGTAGAATTCTCCTTTCTGTGTTGCTGAAGAAGTGAGGCTGAACACCTTTTGCAGAGAACACCTTTCTGCGTAGGCGGCCTTCGGCCGCACTTAGTGATTATAACCCTCACTAAGTAGAATTCTCCTTTCCGTGTTGCTGAAGAAGTGAGGCTGAACACCTTTTGCAGAGAACACCTTTCTGCGTAGGCGGCCTTCGGCCGCACTAAGTGATTATAACCCTCACTAAGTAGAATTCTCCTTTCCGTGTTGCTGAAGAAGTGAGGCTGAACACCTTTTGCAGAGAACACCTTTCTGCGTAGGCGGCCTTCGCTTATGGATCATAACCCTTACTAAGTAAAATTCTCCTTTCTGTGTTGCCAGACAATAAAAACACATCACTTTTTTTCCACTTTAAAAACAAAATATTCGACTTAAAAGGGCTTACAGAAATCATTAAAAGCTACACCTACTCTTCTTCCATAACCTCAATTTCAAAATCCTCTGCTTCTTCCGGCATGTATGGATTCAGTGGATTGTATAATGCACCAGCCAGTTTAAAAAAATTGCTCAGCGGATCCAAACCTGCATGTTTGCAATGCCTCACAAACATAAATTTTGCCAAATATCCACTAAAAAACTTTTTGTTTCGATGGTACTGCGGCATTGGATATTTGACATGCCGCCAAAATCCCTCAATTGTATTTGTGTGTTGTTGCGTTTCTGGGTCTTTAAAATTAACCGAATGGTTAACTTTAAAGTGAACGTACCCTTCATCACTTAGGCAGTCATACGCCTGCAACGAAAAACATTTTAAATTTATATATATATATATTTATATTTATATAAACATATATGGGCACTTAGGCATTAAACTCACCTTCCAAAAATCGGAAACTATGGTCGTGTTAGGAAGAATCCAATTCTTTATAACTGCCAATAAAGTTTCCTTATCCCGCTTTTCAACGGGAACAAGAAAACACTTATTGGTACCACGCTCCACTCCACCAAAAACCCATTGCCCTTCAACAGCGTGTCCACGATGATACTTCCGGCGTCCGAATTTGCTTTCGTCTATCTCAACAATAGACCCGACACCTCCAATTTTCCGCCCCTTTACAACCATGCCGTCATACACTACCTCACGGCAAAAATTACACCAATCAACTGCGGTCGGTCTTGTAATACTTAACTCCTCAATTATAAAATCTTGTGTCACATTCTTCAACC